AGTCTACCCCATTTGACATAGTGCATAGGGCGGGAAATTTCTGTAGACTTTTCAGCAAACTCTGCTAGTGGATTAGGATATATTATTTCAGTTATCTCCTGGCCACAGACATTTCAGCCAAGTATAGATTCCATATTTTATTGTTTGCTTCTTTTTTTGAGGCACTGGTAAAACGTAAAATGTCTCCTAAGTCTACCCCAGTTGACATAGTGCATAGGGCGGGAAATGTCTGTAGACTTTCCAGCAAACTCTGCTAGTGGATTAGGATGTATTATTTCAGTTATCTCCTGGCCACAGACATTTCAGCCAATGATAGAATCTATATTGTTATTGTTTGGCTTCTTCTTTTTGAGGCGCTGGTTAAACGTAAAATGTCTCCTAAGTCTACCCCATTTGACATAGTGCATAGGGCGGGAAATTTCTGTAGACTTTCCAGCAAACTCTGCTAGTGGATTAGGATACATTATTTCAGTTATCTCCTTGCCATAGACATTTCAGCCAAGTATAGAATCTATATTGTATTGTTTGCTTCTTCTTTTTGAGGCACTGGTAAAACGTAAAATGTCTCCTAAGTCTACCCCAGTTGACATAGTGCATAGGGCGGGAAATTTCTGTAGACTTTTCAGCAAACTCTGCTAGTGGATTAGGATACATTCTTTCAGTTTTCTCCTGGCCACAGACATTTCAGCCAATTATAGAATCTATAATTTTATTGATTGCTTCTTCTTGAGGCACTGGTAAAACGTAAAATGTCTCCTAAGTCTACCCCAGTTGACATAGTGCGTAGGGCGGGAAATTTCTGTAGACTTTTCAGCAACCTCTGCTAGTGGATTAGGATACATTCTTTCAGTTATCTCCTGGCCACAGACATTTCAGCCAAGTATAGAATCTATAATGTTTTTGGTTGCTTCTTTTTGAGGCACTGGTAAAACGTAAAATGTCTCCTAAGTCTACCCCAGTTGACATAGTGCATAGGGCAGGAAATTTCTGTGGACTTTTCAGCAAACTCTGCTAGTGGATTAGGATACATTCTTTCAGTTATCTCCTGGCCACAGACATTTCAGCCAAGTATAGAATCTATAGTTTTATTGGTTGCTTCTTTTTTTGAGGCACTGGTAAAACGTAAAATGTCTCCTAAGTCTACCCCAGTTGACATAGTGCATAGGGCGGGAAATTTCTGTAGACTTTTCAGCAATCTCTGCTAGTGGATTAGGATATATTATTTCAATTATCTCCTGGCCACAGACATGTCAGCCAAGTATAGAATCTATAATTTTATTGGTTGCTTCTTTTTGAGGCACTGGTAAAACGTAAAATGTCTCCTAAGTCTACCCCAGTTGACATAGTGCATAGGGCGGGAAATTTCTGTAGACTTTTCAGCAAACTCTGCTAGTGGATTAGGATACATTCTTTCAGTTATCTCCTGGCCACAGACATTTCAGCCAAGTATAGAATCTATAATTTTATTGGTTGCTTCTTTTTGAGGCACTGGTAAAACGTAAAATGTCTCCTAAGTCTACCCCAGTTGACATAGTGCATAGGGCGGGAAATTTCTGTAGACTTTTCAGCAAACTCTGCTAGCGGATTAGGATATATTATTTCAGCTATCTCCTGGCCACAGACATTTCAGCCAAGTATAGAATCTATAATTTTATTGGTTGCTTCTTTTTGAGGCACTGGTAAAACGTAAAATGTCTTCTAAGTCTACCCCAGTTGACATAGTGCATAGGGCGGGAAAATTTCAGCAAACTCTGCTAGTGCATTAGCATACATTCTTTCAGTTATCTCCTGGCCACAGACATTTCAGCCAAGTATAGAATCTATAATTTTATTGGTTGCTTCTTTTTGAGGCACTGGTAAAACGTAAAATGTCTCCTAAGTCTACCCCAGTTGACATAGTGCATAGGGCGGGAAATTTCTGTAGACTTTTCAGCAAACTCTGCTAGTGGATTAGGATATATGATTTCAGTTATCTCCTGGCCACAGACATTTCAGCCAAGTATAGAATCTATAATTTTATTGGTTGCTTCTTTTTGAGGCACTGGTAAAACGTAAAATGTCTCCTAAGTCTACCCCAGTTGACATAGTGCATAGGGCGGGAAATTTCTGTAGACTTTTCAGCAAACTCTGCTAGTGGATTAGGATACATTCTTTCAGTTTTCTCCTGGCAATAGACATTTCAGCCAATTATAGAATCTATAATTTTATTGGTTGCTTCTTTTTGAGGCACTGGTAAAACGTAAAATGTCTCCTAAGTCTACCCCAGTTGACATAGTGCATAGGGCGCGAAATTTCTGTAGACTTTTCAGCAAACTCTGCTAGTGGATTAGGATATATGATTTCAGTTATCTCCTGGCCACATTTCAGCCAAGTATAGAATCTATAATTTTATTGGTTGCTTCTTTTTGAGGCACTGGTAAAACGTAAAATGTCTCCTAAGTCTACCCCAACATATTCACATCAGCCAGCGGAAAATCCCCAACGCCACGTCCTGCAGCTGCGCGAGGGAGTGCTGTAGCCAGGAGCTCACCATGGCCAGGCGCTCCAGCGACGCGTCCAGGCCTCAAGCGTGGGGCGCCAAACCAAAATGGACGGGTGGATCACGGGGAGCATCACGGGACTCAGTGACCTGTGACCCTGGGAAAAAAGGGAACCCTTTATTGTGGGAAGACCATTTTTATTTTTTAGTGGGGCGGGCACCAAAAAAAAGGGGAAAAAGAATTGGTGCCACTGAACAACTGCGAAGTCGGGTGGTTTCCCGCTAGTCTGAGGAGCCTTCGGATGGGCGGGCCTGAACAAATTTCTTGGTGGGTGTGGGGCTCCAACGGGGGAGCCAAAATCGCAAAAAAAAGGGGGAGACTCCATTGTATTCCAGAAGTGGGGATGGAGCCCTTGATCCCAGAACCCTCTCCCAACAACAGTGCCAAACAGACCCATATGAGTCATAATCAAAACCTGATATCAAGACAGTCTAGAACCATGTAAAGAATCAAGAAGGCGGATTTCGCACCCCTGTATGGTTGGGACTATCCCTCACTAGCCTTCATCTACCCGGGTTTTGATTGTGGCTTACATGGGGGAGTTCATCAAAAGGTCCGTGATACATGGATATTCACCACTGAAGGGAAAAGCTCCCGTGGTCATGTTGGGGCCAGGAATGTGTGTGGTCATTTTGGGCCAGGAATATTGACCAACCCCCGCATCGCCGTAAAACTAAAATCATCTATTTTGGCTTGGTTGCTATAACGACTGAATCACTTTCTGTGGGTCCGATGGAAAATCCGAGCTGTTTCCCGAAAAGTTTCAGTCCGGAGATCCAACCAAATAGCCATAAAGTGTTGGAGGTGCGTTGGAACTGTGGTGTCTTTGGTAGGTTCTATGACTAGGTCCTCCAGTGGAGAGAAAATAAGGGTACCAACTTTTTCCTGTCTATTTTAGTAGGGGAACCCTCCCAACCAAAAAGGGGTTAAAAGGGCACCAATTGCTGGGGGACCTAGATGAGGTTCTTCTCGATTTCTCTTTTAGCTTGCGGTGGATTCATGAAACCCCGAACCGCTTCGCCCGCTTCGCTCGGAGGCCGGAGCCAAACAAGAGTTGGGCTAGGCTCCTCGAATGGCTGCCGTTGCACCATTCGGAAGTCAACAACATGTGTACCTGGTAAAAAAGGCAGCCAGGCAGCGCAGGCATGCGAACATTTGCGTTTTGTCAGGGGCTTCGAGGGTCCAAGTCGCCAAAACAGGAAGAAAAAAAAACAAAAAACGACAGCGGTCATGAGCATTCCCTCTAATGGGGGAGCAAGCATGTCGATTCTAAAGGCCCAGTGCTTCTAGTGGATCGGCCAACCCTGGGATTGGATTTCGCGATTCCATTCTCCAGAGGAAAAAGGAATTGCCCAAGAATCACTTTCCCAGTGTAGGCAATTACAGGTAGCCGGCAAGTGAAAAAAACGGCTTCCATTTGGGTGTGCGCTTCTTTAGGGGACCCCCCAAAAAATGGGTGGTCCTCTTGATTGTTTCAAAAGAACCACAAAAAAGAGGGGTACCCTAAAAACAAGAGGCCCCCATTTTTCAGGTGCATGGAAAGCATCCCTTCCCAACGAGTCGGAGGCCCAAGGCTTGCTTGGTTCTTCCCCTTGAGTGGCTTTAAGAGGGAACGGCAAAAAGGAGCATATGATGCTCAAAGTGGTGTTACGGATGGTGTAGAAATCTCAGATACAAAGAAACAGCAACACAAATTTGAAAAAGAAACAAACGAGCAAACAAACAAACTGATAAATAAACAAGCCAGCAATCAAGTAGCAAGAAGCACCACATGAAAATGAACAAAGAACACACATAAACAAAGAATCACAAGCAACAAACCAGGTCTATGGAAATCAACACTGGGACCAGCGGCATGGCTAATCTGTTGGAGTCGGGACCAACTAACTCCCACGAAAGGGTCATTCCATGTCTCATTCCCTGCGCATCGAACCTGCAAAGTCAGTTGGCAGCAGGTCAAAAATAGGAACCCAAAATGGAACCCTGGTAAATGGAAATATGGACGAAACCCTGTGGGTCCCTGCTGGTTCAATTTTGACCCACACCCAGTTTGCTCCTTCCAAGCAACTTGACAGGCGCAGCATTTCTCAACGAATACTGCTGGATGGTTTATCAGGACCTAGTAGGGGCCACCCACCCCAAATGGTTGCTTACAGCCCTGCCGTAAGTTCCCAGCAGTTTACAGTCCGCGCGACAAGGAAGCTCGCAAGAATCAAACCCTGATCCCACGTCAAGTCAGAAAGAAGAATGAGGGAGGCGTTGGGAGGCTACTTGAAGCTTCAAGAACACGTGGATACTTGTGTCCTTTGCAGGCTTCTCTTACAGAAACCAGTTGATCCTGCTGCTATTTGCAAGGACTCTGAACACCTCTCTGAGGGCTAGGAGGGTCCGAATGTCTCTCATCAGTGAAACCCTCGTTCGCCCACCATTCTTCTGCACGCTTTTGCCATCGAGGTCGACTCAAGTCTCGCTGAATTCTCGAAAACAACGTGCCACCTCCGGAAAGCCATTCTCAGCAGCAACGTCCAAAGGTGTTCGCCAATGCTTGTCGGCCTTGTCTGGGTCGGCTCCAGCGGCCAGCAGGCACCAGACACCCTGATCATGCCCATAAGCAGCGGCGCAATGTAAGGGCGTTCTCCACTCGCAGTCAGGTTTATCCTTGTCAGCACCTGAGTGTGTCATTTTGATTGGAACCCGTTTTGGAGGTTTGCTTTTTGAGAGAACCCACAACACCGCTGGCTGGTGCATGGAAACCTCCCGTTTGCTCGGTTCCTCCTTGTTTTGTGGCAAACAAACAACCCTTGCTCACCTGTTCGTCCCCAAAAGCCAACCAAAAAAGCTGAAGCCGGCGCAGAAAGGGACAGAAAGGGAAACACCCACCTGCTTCCAGCAAGCAGTGCAGAATCTCCAGATGCCCACACTCCGCCGCGGCATGCAAAGGTGTGCGCCAGTATTTATCCATCTTCTCTGTGTCAGCCCGAGCTTGCAGCAGGCAACACACAGCTTCCTTCGCGCGGGTTCCCTTGCTAAAAACTGTTGTTAGCGGGACATGTCACACATCCCTCTAAAGTGTAAAACTCCAAAGGGTGTAAGAGCATGGCTGGGGGATGTTGCAATTTCAGATTTTGTTTCATTTTTGGCCAATTCCCAAAATATGTCAAATGGAGAAGACTAAGACCCCCGTCCAAAAGTGTTGGTTTCTTCGCCAAGTCGCCAGGCTCGTGCTGGAAGCAAGGTGCAAAGGCGTGCGCAGGTCAGAGTCGACCTTGTCTTTGTCAGCGCCAGCTTCCAGCAAACTACGCACTGCTTCCACCTGAACCCCCCCCCCCAGGAACAAAAAAAAATGCTTCAAGGACCGGTGAATGAAGGATGGAAAGGGGTGTTCTCCTCCAAAAATCATGAATCCCCAGTAAAAGGGGACACCCCCTGTTAACCTGACCCCCCCCCCCTTGCAGAAAAAAAACCGAGGTGTTGGTTTTTCCGCTACGACCCCCGGGTCAGCCGAACAATCTCCTGCGGTGTCAGCGAGGATTGCACAGGGGTCACGCGCCTTACCCAAAAAAAAGCGAACCTTGCAAAAGGCGTTGTCCGTATTGGAGGAGCCCCCCCAAAATCAACGGTTTGTCCATTGGGTTTCACCTTACAACGGGAAAATCGGGGAAGCGCAAAATAAGTGGTGGTGTCCCCTTGCTTGGTTTTCCTTTAGATTTCTTGTAGATGTTCTTTTAGAACAACCCAAAACGGGTGCCCGAAAAGACACCCCCTCCAAAGACGCCTTGCCGTTGTCGGCCGCCAGATGCAAAGGTGTGCGCTCGACCTCGTCGGCCCTTTCCGTATCAGCCCGAGCTGCAAGCAAGCCACACACCTGAGCGGGAGCGCCCGGCGCCCCTTTAGCTCTATTGACATGCTTGCATTGGCCCCCAGTGCCTCTGTTCATGGGATAGTGTCATGAAGGGGGGCGACCGGCGGGCTACCCCCACGATGAGCCAAAGATAAGCGAAAAATAAGACCTAGAAAGGGTCACGTTAGGAATGGGTCTCTCTCTCCATGTGCGCCAGGACCAAGAACCTCAAACCCCTTGAATCCAACACCCGTCGCGCCCCAAATCTCCAGCTGCCCTTGAGCCCCTCTGAAACAAGTCCCTAGAGGCCAGATCCTTCCGCAGTCCAAACCCACACACAGCCTCGAAACATGAAACTGGTCAAATTTCCTAGAACCGGTCAAATTTCCTAGAAAACAGGTCAACTTGCCTGGTCAAATCCTGCCTAGAAACCGGTCAAACGTCCGTCAGAAACCAGTTTGCACCCAGGTAAGGCGTCATCAACCAGCAAGGCGCTCGAAAACTAGTATGTCGAAGCCGTTGCCATGCCTGCTGGCCGCGAGGTACATCCGGTTGTGCTCATTGAGCAGCTGAGCCCAGTGTTGACGGAGCATGGAGGCTGCCGAGCGGGGGCCAAACTTGTGGTTCAGCAGCTGGGAGCAAAGTTGTGCGCCCCACGCATTCAGCTTGTCTTGACAGGTAAGCCCTGCCCTGTGCAGCATAGGCAGGTACTTGTGGATCACGGGCAGGTTCATCATTACTTGCAGCGACTACAGTGCTTTCACAACTCTCACCAGATCTGCAAGGCGCTGTGCATGAAGGGCCTCTGCTTCACAGCTACCCTCCTAACTCCGTCCAAACCTTGTGGCGGACATCCATACTCACCACTTGAACGGCCTGTGCAAACACTCAGGCGTTAAGAAATCATGATACGGCTTCCTAAGGCAACCATGACAATGGCCTACATCTTGTTGGCGAGTCCATGACAAGCTTCAGAATTCGCAGTTCAATATCATGAGCTTGGTGCGTCGAACCCAATGGATGCAGCGATGACGACGAACTCAATGAGCTCTTTTTTTGCCCGGTCGAACTCCGCCCCCTAGAAGCCGGCAAGATCCAGCTGGAAAGGTCAAACACCAGTCAAACTTCTCAGAATGCCCCACCCAAATTGCTCCCGAAAAGCCCAGCTCAGCCCAAGTCTAGGCGCCAGTCCACTGCCCTTCTCTAGCTCTCAGACTTCGCCTCCCAGCCCTTGAAGCCATGTGGAAAGGCGCGAACATGCACCCCCGCCATACAACTTGGGAACCAGCCCACGCTCCAACAAACACGACACCTCACGGCGAGCCAAAACACAGTGCCTCAAAGACAGCCAACAGCATACTGGCCCAAAATGGCAGCCGCGAAGCGGTTAAAAGCTGGGGTCTAAATCGTTTGAATAATGTTATAGAGATACCTCCGGCCAAACTAAGCCATGATCACAAGCGAGAATGTGTGCGTGTGTTTAATGGTGTTTAGCCCTCTACAGGCCCCACATTGACTTTTGTCTGAAATCCACAACACATTATGCTGGCCGAGGAAACAACGGGAAGTTAACCAGAAAACCCAAACTGCTCTGATTGATCGATCTTGGAAATCAAGGCAACCCAAAGAGCAAAAAGCTTCAAAAGGCTTGCTAAGTCTTGCAATGACACAACCTCTGCATGCCCGTTGCACGCGGCCGCATGCAGCGGTGTGAGGCAGTGACAGTCGGCCTCATCAATTTCCACGCCGAGCAGAAGGCGCACGACTTCCTCACAGCGCCCGCCGCCATGTGCAAAACGTGGACCCAACATGGGTAACAAATTCAATGGGTTTTGGGACGCTACCTGATTTGGAAGCCCGTGCATCTAAATGGTTTTGAACGGCAAAACCCCCATGTTCGGTGTTGCTAATGGCTTTTTGGTCCATGAAGAAAGGATTCCCCACAAAAAAAGGGACCCCCCCTTTGTGTTGTGTGGGGTAAGCACGCTGCTGGGGAGGTCATGTCGGATTGAAACTATCCCAAGTCACTGCGAGTTTGGGGCACATGCAAGAAGTCATGCAAGAACTTTAAGTCAGAGGGGTTGCGACATTTTCTAGCTCCTCCAGTAGAGAGGTTAGAATAAGGGTACCGTTTCTTTTTTCTGTCGTCTATTTTAGTAGGGGAACCCTCCCCAAAAAAAGGGGAGAGAAGGGCACTACTGGGCGACCTGGTATCTGTAAGTAAGGGGGGTTGCGGCATTTTAGAGGAGAATCCGGATCACTTTGGATTTTCCCGGGTGTTCCCCCTGTCTTGAAGCGACTCTTGCCCCACCCGCAGGGGGCCTGCTGCCCGTGCTCGGCCGCCAAGCGGAGAGGCGTGCACCCCGCCGCCGTCTTCTGCGCCTGAGCGCCCGCCTCCAACAAGCAACGCGCCACCTGCTGGTGACCGTGACGCGCGGCGAGGTGCAGGGGTCTCCCGTCAGCCTGGCCAAGAGGCCAGTTGACCCAGAACCATGTAAGGAAATACAACGGCCGCAGCTATTTATGGCTGGGGTTGTCCCTTACTAACCTTCATTTAGCCGGGTTTTGATTGTGGCTCAGTTCGAAATAGATACTCTGCCAATGAGCATGGGGGATTCTAAAAGGGCGCGTCCCCTTTTGTCTCGGCTGCAGTTTCGGTTGCATCATGTTTCATGCTTGTCTGCAGGTGTGTAAAATGGTTGAACACTGCGAGCCACTATAGTAGGAAGCTGGAAGATGTTTTACCTCTAGGTTTTACATGATGGTTTATCCTGGTGGGGACTTTCTTGATTCTGCCAAAAAGAATCGGACGGAGCGCAGTAAGGGGTCTGAAATTTGGTTTCGCGTCCCATCAAATTGCAATAAGGACGATGTGCCGAATGCCCCATGCGTTCTCGTTGCCCTCATACAACTCTAACACAAACCCAAAACCTCAAAAAGGCTTCCATACTGTGGATGGACGAAATCCATTTCGCACCACCTAAGAAACCCAGGAGTGATTTGTGATTTGATTCCCCTGTACATACCAACCAACGTTCTGGTTTCAACCATGGTTTCCAAGTGGTGCGATTTCTGGATTTCGCTTTTCCATCCACCGTGTTGTTACATCTAACACCGGGTCCCCTCAAAGACACCTCCGCAGCTGAGGTACACGGGCCAAAGCGTACCCCCGCCCCCCCGCCCCCCAAGGCAAAGGAAGAGGTTCCTAAGCTCGCGGGTTTTCCCAAACGGAGTCCTAGGCTCTAGCCCCGAGTTGTGAAAAAAAACAACGGCCGTAGATGTTTTAACAAGTTGCCTGCCAAACGGTTTTCACACTGAAGGACTCCTTGTGACTTTTAGGGTGTAAGGGTTCAAGAGTGTCATAACCAAAACCCGGTAATAAAACGGTCTACCCAGAACCATGTAAAGACTTAAGAAGGCGGCCGCAGCTACTTATGGTTGCGATTGTCCCTTACTAACCTTCATATACCTGGGTTTTGATTGTCGCTCAAGTGACTTGGCTGTAAGGATTAGGATGCATGAGTGGAGGCACCCCATCAAGGCTGAAAGTGAAAAAGCAGGATGTTCAAACCACAGGCAAGCAGGTCATAACCAAGAAGTGGAACAAGGGTTGGTCGGACTTGTGGTTGTGAACCGCTTAGGTGCCGTGAAATTTGTCAAGCTAGTAAGTGGTTGACTTGTAACCCACTCATCTCAGTGGGTTGTAAGCCACCAACAACTTACTAAGTTAGCCGAACACCCGAGTAAGATGAAAGCTACAAAGTGCCAGTCCTAACACACCGAAAACACCTTGGGCGGCTTCACACTTTGGTGAGCAACCAAGCAGCCTGTAGTATCCAACCAACTGGACACCCACGCTAAAAGACATGCAAAAGGGCGGATATGTTTAACATATTTCTATGTACATGTTTGTGTCTTGAGCTCTAAATGTAAGAGGGTCCACAAATAACGAATCCTCTGAACGGGGGCTTTGGGGTATTTGACCAGGGTTACCAACCACTTAATTTCAGTACCAAATGGATCGCCGCCTCTCAAACAAAGAGCTGCCATTCAAGCAAGCAGCATGATCCTTGTCAGCGCCAGCTTGAAGCAAGCAGCGCGCAACTCCCTCATGCCCGTGCAAGGCGGCAAGATCTAAGGGTGTGTACCACTCTTCGTCCTCTGCTTCCATATTTGCGCTTGCTTCCTAGGCAGATCTAAACCCCCCCCAAAAAAAACACACACACACACACAACATGTTGGCTAACATGTTGCTGGTTGGAAGGGGAGATGAAGGAACCAAAAGGCAAAGGGCAAATAGCTTAGCTAAGTCCGGCCATGTTGCAAGCAGGCAACGTACAATTCCTTCATGGCCATTCTTGGCCGCCGCGTGCATGGGTGTCTGCAAGAAAACATTGGACATCTCCGCATCAGCGCCAGCTTGCAGCAAGCAGCGCACAACGTCTTCCTCCGGGTCGTCAAGATATGAACGGTCAATATTGATTGTATCCGAACCAACTGACATCCCCATTTGGTTTCACAAGGTGGGGTTCAAATCCCCAAACCACCAATTCAAAAAGCAGTAGGGAAGGGGAAGCAGACCAATCGGAAGGTCGATGGCGCAATCAGGACACTCCAACTTGCCTGGCCGTCGTCCGCGGCAAACTGCCTCACCCCAAGCACAGCAACAAACACGGACTATTCTTGTGGCTCACCGAACCAGAACAGCAAACAAAAAGCACGAAACTGTTTTTGTGTTTTCGAAATAAAAGAAAAAGAACAAGCACAACACATGGAGAAGAGAAAGAAAGAAAGAAAGAAAGAAAGAAAGAAAGAAAGAAAGAAAGAAAGAAAGGGAAAGAATGAAAAAATAAAAGAAAGCAAAGAGGGACAAATCACCCACCAACTCCAAACCCTAAAAAAGAAGACGTGCACGTGCCAAGTGCCGGCGATCTGCAACACGGTTCCCCCGTAGCTATCCGCCGCGTCAGGATCCAACGGGATCTCCAGGCACCGCACCAGATCCCACAGCGAATCCGCAGCAGCGCGGCTCAGGGTCTCCAGCTTTTCGGGCTGGCGGATCGGGGGATCGGGGTGCCCAACTCGCCGAAAGTCGAAAACTTTTGTTTGGTGGGTGAAATGGAAACTGCCAAGAAAAAACACTAAAAGCCTAAAAAAACTAGTGGGTTGGGGAAGCTACCACGAAACCAACTAAAAAGCTAAAGGAATCTAAAACAGCCTAAGGGGATGGTGGGGGATCGGAAATGCATTGGCCGAAACATGTAGCCGTACTTGACATGTAGCACTAAAATGATCTTCCGAAGAAAAAAACAAAAAAGGTCAAGTCCAGGAACTCAGGAAGTGAGGTCTGCCTTTTCCACTGAGATGCTCCCTGCTTCGAGTTGGATTCTACACCAGGGCCAAGCATGAAGTCCTTCCACAAGAGGCAACGCCCGGTGGATGCCTTAAATATTGCAAGCAAACCAGCCACAAACCACGGGATGTTTTTCAAGGTGTCCTGTGTTCCCTGCTTGCAATAATTTAGGGTCCGGACCCTTTTGGACACCAGTGGTAAGGGTAAGCTTCACTTTCCGAATTGTTGGGCCCTTCACCTGAGTACTCCTCCAGCAAAATGTGCCAACCCTTGGGTTCATTTGTGTGTGTGGCTTAGGGACCTGTTGGACACACAAATTCGCTGGGGATATGTTTCAAGTCCACCCACTTTTGAGGCGGGTCCAACCCTATATCATTCTTGGCCATTTGACTATGCGCTGCATGGAAAACAACACTGATTTCAGTTCAGACTTGGTGAACCTCAAAATCTGCCATAAACTCGGAGAAGACCCCAGGTATCCCTACTGGGGTGCAAGTAGACAGACCAGACCCTAGCCACTGCCTGCAAGTAGACTACCCATATTGCATAATACAAAGGGGGGAGCCCCCAGTTATCCCCAACAAGCAGAAATGGGCTTATTTTTTGAGGGTACCCCAAAATGGCTTGGTTTCCCTGTTGGCTTTCCTCGAAAACCACCCAACAAAAAGTGGTAGCATCAAAAAAGACGGACCAATACGCTTGCAACCGGCTGCCCATCCCAGGGCACTTGCAGCTTTAGGTTGAAAGTGCCGCTTTTCGTTTTGGACATCCACTTCCAATCAGGTTTTGCCCATCTGAAAACCAGATATGGATGAAGCCCTTAGTCAGCCAGACATTCAGGTCAAACCAAAAAAGGGAATCCCCACGACATGCCAAGGTAAGCCCAATGGACGGCCTGAATCCGGGCTCTGATTTGCGCCAGTCTCGACCCCTTCAAGGGCCTACGAAAGGGCCCAACACTTTGGAAAGAGAACCGGGGCCCAAGACTTGGGCATCCCGGACTTCGGGTTTTGGAATCCAACATGCAAGTTGTTGAACGCCTCTTTTTCGCTTTTGGAAAACTTGGGTTTTGCAGGCGAATTTCCGCCCCTGACCACACCAAAAGGCTACCCAGTACCGACCGTTAAAAAAGAAAAGGAAAAACAAAAAAACGCACACACACCAGGGTGCCGACCTTAAGTTGGACAGACCCGCTGCCCGGCCCGGGAAGCTGTTTCTGCGTCCGCGTCCGAAAAAAACATCGATCCCTCGCGCCTGCACATACGGCCGCACATAGACCAAAAACGGCCCGGTGCCCCAGGCGCTCTCGGCGCCCAAGACGTCATTCCTCAGTCCACAGCTGCATGGAGCTTTCGAGGTGTTCCTGGGTTTCCCGTTTTACCCACCAGAGGGGGTGAAATCCAAACCTGGCACAAAAAAGTGGAGTGTGCAACACAACTGTGGATGGACGAAAACAATGTTTGCACCACTTGGAAACCATGGTTGAATCCGTCGACAGTATGACTTGGCTTCATGTTTCGCCTACCCAAAATATAAACTAGTTCTAAAATCTGAGACTCCAGCTGAGCATGTTTTGTTTTGGGTACATCGGCCGAATACACTGGCAGCCATGCCTACGCGGAGCCTCCGCGGGTGTGCCAACCTTGGAAGGGTGCCTACGCGAGCCGCGGCAACAAGCGCCTACTCGGAGTCCCTACGCAGACTTTTCTCGGGCGCTACTCTCCAGTCGCATCAACAAGCTTGTGTAAGGAAAAGCATGCTAAAGCGACTCTGCCTATGCAGGACTCTCTTGAACAGGTAACAGCCTACGCAGACTGCCTACGCGCATCGCTTCCCCCACCAGACTTGCCTACGCCGGTGCCTACGGAACATACAAGTTCCCCCCAAATATTCAGCGAATAGAAACGTGGGGCGCCCGAGAAAAAGACAAAACTACTTGTGGCTTGTAATGATATGCCTATATGAAACGCAAGGGTTTCTTTGAACAAATCGAAACAGCTCTTCCATGCACGGAAGTGTGGCAGTTAAAAGTCCTAACATCCAAGCAAAATGCACCAAAGTTACGTAGCTCTGCTCAGCTGAGACTTCGGACCGGTGGTAGCAAACGAGCTACCGGTACGACGTTTTGGGGTTGACACTCTTTGGCTGGGAAGCCGGCAAAGGGCAAAGGGCAGAGGGTGGAATCCAGTGAGCGACAAAAGTTTATGTTGTTGAAGCATAAAAACAATCAAACACAGAAACACGGAAACAAGCACATGCACAAACAAACAAACAAACAAACAAACAAACAAACAAACAAACCAAACAAACCAAACAAACCAAACAAACCAAACAAACCAAACAAACCAAACAAACCAAACAAGGAACAAACAAAAGAAAGCAAGAAAGGAAGAAAATAAATAAATAATGCAAGAGAGCAAGAAACAAACAAACACGAAACCCAAAGCAGAACCAAAACCAACAACACGCACAGAGCGAGAATCCGAAGGCTCTCCTAGCTTTACAAGACCTGCGCCGAGGTTCTGAGTTAAGTTTCCCATGCCGCGCCGTGTGGTTCCCTTTTGCCTGGGTCCTCCAGTAGAGAGGTTAGAATAAGTTGGTACCATTTCTTGTTTCTGTAGTCTTTAGGGGAACCGAATCTCCCAACCAAAAAGTTGGTAAGAGGCAACTGGACCCAGTTGCCCCAAGAAGGGAGAAGGAAGAAACAAAACGGGCCTTGTTGAAACCTCGATCCCTATGTTCCACTTGCGCCTTGGCCACCCCAGGCGCTACGACCTTTCCGTTTGCCTATGTGTATCACCCACCTGCTTGAGTCTCCCGAAAAGACCAAAAACTGATCCAGTAGTGATAGATTCTCTGCAAGCCCAGAAGAGCATAACACATATTCCTGAGTAAGGTGCGGGTTGATTGAGAGTATTTTGCCCAACCCAGGTGGCAAATTAAGTCACGCGTCGGAAATAGGAACCTCCAAGTAGACCTATGAATCGTCCCCGATTGAGCTTATTTGCCCGTGTTCTCCCAATTGGGACTCGGACAAGGGTTGGCGTCCTCTTGGGTTCTGAACTAAGGTTCTGAACCAAGGTAGCTCCCAGTCAAGGACCTTTATCATCACTTTCGCTCGTTTTACTCCCGGATTGGTGAGCTCACGAAGTAAAATTGGCAGCCACTTTCCCCAACTCGCTTGGGGGCTGGAGGGAGCCCAAATAAGCCATCTTTCTAGGGGTAACTTCCCCATTCTTTCCAGGGATCCTTCTTTCTAGAAAACCACCAAAAACCCTGGGGAAATGGCTGGTTCTTGAAAAGAACGATGGCTGAAAAGAATGGGGAAGCAACCTCTAGAATCTTAAGCCCTCCCCTCCCCTCCCCTCTCCAGCCCCCAGATGAAACTCTGTCGCCCAGATTCCCCTGGACCACTTGGAGCTGCCGGAAGTTCGCCAACTTCCTCCGCCGCGCAACCTCCAGGCGCAGCTCGTCCAGGAAGCCAGCGGTCTCTCCTTCGGTCATTTTGGCCATGAGTCAAAACCCCGGCTACCCCCCAGTGAACATCCCAATCCCCACTAAAATAGGTTCTAAAATGGGTGGTGCACCTATCCCAAAATGGTACCATTGGCTTTGAACCATGGCCATTTGACAGGCTTTGGGGGACCTTTCGTCAGGAGCTGTGGATGTTTCCCTTCAACCTTGGTTGCGGTCGACAAAAAACAAAAAACGCTTTTTGTGGGCCTCTGGAAAATCCGAGCTTCAACCAAAAAGTATTCCAGTCCAAAGATCCGCTACCAAGTAGCCATGAAGCAACCTACCACTTAGCAAAATCGAGCAACATGGCATCTCTTCAGCCCCGCAGAGGTGAAAACTCTGCTTTAGGGGCGGACAGGGACGGTTTGCTTCACCCCCTGGGTGTCCTTCTCAAACAACAACAATGCGCTCTTAAATAAGGGTGTCTTTTTAAAGGTTGGACCCCCAAACTGGTGGTTTTCCTTTTGCTTGCCCAAAAAACAACACACCCATAGAAACCTTTGGTGTTTTGTTTGTCTTTTAAGACCGGGCTTCCCAGTCTGTCCCGGCCTTTCGCCGTTTCTCGGAGCGTTTGTTTGTTTCATTGAGGGTCAGAAAACCACCTTGATTCTGGTCTCCGTCCATCGTCCGTTTCCAAAAACAAATCAATGCTTGCTTTGGATCTTGCTGCTTGGCCCGTTGCCTTGAAGCGCCTTTTTCTCTTTTCTTCGACCCCTGTGTTCGACAAAAAAAGAACCTGCGCCTTCCCGAGTCAAGCTGGCAAGACCTGCTTGGGGTTCCCACATCCAAACGGTTCGATTCACAGAATCGCTTCCGAAAGTAGACTCAGCCGAAAAACCGTCAAGTGCCGCTGGTCCCCAGTGCTTGTGACTGTTTTGGGGTAACGTGTCGGGTAAAAGGCAGTTTCCGGCGTGCAGGAGTTGTCCAAAGGACCGGGAACTAAAAGGTGATCACCTGTGGCCACTAGACATGAACCAAGGGAAACCACATCAAGATGTCGGCCTTGCAACTGGAGAGTTCATTGAGTTTGGCTTCAACAGCAACAGGGTCGATCCCGCCAAGCCTCACCTCATTTCAATTAAAGCTCGGAAAGGAATCATACATATTGTCCCCCTGCAATCATGACTCCAACCTCATTCATTTGAACGCCTGGTAGTAAATATGCACATTGAAGTTGTACAGCACCCCACAACCCCTGTTCTATTGATAATTAATTATCAAGGCCCTTATAATACACCTACCATACTTAATACTTGTAGTTTACTCACCCCATATACTGACTTTATGTGACTTGCCACTGTCCTTCTTAGGGGGGGCCTGTTTTTGTGAGGGTACCAAATTTGTCAGATTGGTCTTGAAGGAAAACCAAAACTGGGCGTCCGTTTTCAGATCCCCGCCAAAAGTGAACAACTTCCAGTGGGCTACGTACGGAAATCCAACGAGTAACCCAACTGAAAAGCAAGAAACAAGCAAAACAGCTAAACAGCTAAAAAGGCTTTAAAAAAACGGACGGCTGGGAACCAACAAGAGGACTAGGTCCTCCAGTAGAGAGGTTAGAAGGGCACCCATTTCTCTGTAGTCTATTTCAGAATCATAGACTGCAAAACCACCCCCCCTGAACCCCCCCCCTTGCAAAGTAAGGCCAAATTAAGAGGACACATAAAAGGAAGGCCTTATTAAGGACTTAGTAGGGACTTATTAAGCCCTTATTAAGGCCTTAATTTGGCCTCAAAATTAAGGAGGAATTAAGGCCAAATTAAGACCAAGTTAATTTTTGGAAATTCACCTTGTGGACAAATTAAGGCCTAATTAATGTTTTTGTTTGTGCACCAACGACTCAAGCCAATTCAAGCCAACAATGCAAAATGTAAAGCAGACTCAAGGCAAGACTGAGCTCAAACGCGCCAGCCTTTCAAACGTGCTAAATGAAAACGCGATGTCCTGATTTATGGGTGCGTGCCTACGGTGTATTGGGTTGGGAATCACGCCAAGCTACTGTAAAGCAAAATTAAGGCCAAATTAAGGCAAAATTAAGGCCGGATTAAGGCCAAATTAAGATCAAATTGAGGCCAAACTAGCGCAAATGCCTATGGGATTTTGGTTTAAGCACAATTAAGGCCAGATTAAGGCAAATTAAGGCCAAATTAAGGCCAAATTAGCGCAAATGCCTATGGGATTTGGGCTCAAGCAAAATTAAGTCCAAACTAAGGCCAAATTAGGGTCAAATTAAGGCCAAATTAAGGCCACATTAAGGCCAAATTACGTCCAGATTGGCGCACATACATACATCACGAAATAAGGCAAGAGTAAGGCAAACGTAAAGCCCAATTCAAGGGAACACTGAAAGCGCGCCTAGGGAAATTGGAAACAGAAACTGAAAGCCAAACTGAAGCAACATGAAATCCAATCGGCGGGCGGGTTGGCTACCGAGCGCCGATGGCTTCAGGAGGTTGCTTCAAAAAATAGCCCCTAAAAAGCCCTAATCAGCCCTTATTTATTTTGGGGGGGTGGTTCAGAGGGGGTGCTGGTTTGGAAACTATGATTTCAGTAGGGGAACCCTCCCAACCAAAACAGCGGTGAGAAAGCTGGCGCCTAGCTGGGGGACCTAGTAACCTTTATGAATCCAGGTAGAACCATCCACTGAAGTTGCCTTTTCTTCTCTTTTTTTGGGGGGGGTTGTGCGCTCACTTGGCTCCAACTCCCTTTGCACGACTCGCCCTCCCGACTCCTGCCGTGCGTCCCTGGCGGAGTGCGGCTTCCCACTGGGCGAACTGCTCGAAGCTCATCACCTCTTCGCCCCCCACCGCCATGAGGACAGCCATGGCGAAGCGCTCCGCGGCGCGAAGCGGCGATTATTTTTCTAGACGAGCCGAGTGCAAAGAAACACCTTCTTCAAACAAACAACTACATTGCATATGTACATAGTGTATATGTTGATTTATATATGTCAATGTATATACATACATGTGGACATGCGCGTATATGCATGTATAGTATCCACATGCCAATAAGCAGTGGTGCTTCTGGGCTGAATGCAAAACCTCCCAGGGCGAACTGAGGCCGAGCCTGTGGCTACTGATCCATACGTCGCTAAGCCTAGCCCTTGAACCAAAGGCGCTATAGCGGTTTTTGGTTGCCGCGTGCTGGCAATAGACGGAAAAGGTGGGGGCGGGCAATTTGCCAAAAGCTGGCCTATTGCCAGCGTTGCAGGGAGACTGAGATTCTTGTCTGGCAAGAAGCACACTTTTCAGGCTTCAATGGCTTTTGATTTGTCCCGTTTCGGTTGCCACACATTGGAATTTCAACGTAACAGGCTACCTTGCACGACATAGACACCTTGAGCCGCTTCCCCAGATTCACAGGAGAACCTCCTTTTGGGTTCCTTCCGCTCATTTGTAGTCCGTACTCATTTTGACCGCAGCAGTCCGTCTGGTCTGAGATCTGGGATTCGCTGGGAACCGATCTGGGGCCCGCACAGGGGTCTGCATCTAGCGGAGGGTCCTGAGCATGGCTGTCGTATCACTCCGAACGGAAAATCGGCCATGGGTGCAAGAAGTGATGTCCAAACTGGCTTGAAAGGAACAAGAGAGAGAGAGAGAGAGAGAGAGAGAGAGAGAGAGAGAGAGAGAGAGAGAGAGAGAGGGAGAGAGAGAGAGCGAGGGAGGGAGGGAGGGAGGGAGAGAGAGAGAGAGAGAACGAGACAGAGAGAGAGAGAGAGAGAGAGACAGCCGTGATGCAGCATTCATCTTCTGTGATATTAAAGTCGGATTCGAATCCCCAACTATGATTGGTTCATTGCCAGAAAGGGGATTCCCCTTGGTATCACAAAAAGTGGCGATTGCTTAAGCCAAGCTGTCTGTCCACTGCCATGAAGGTCACGAAAAAAGACCTTGACCTGTCAAACCTGGAGCCGGCCGCTGCAATCGAGGGGTGCCTCAAGCGTTTTGTTGGGCCAAGGAGAGGGCATGGAAGGAACGTTGGGCTGTGTTCTGGAAAGATTGCTTTGATTTCCACTGCAAAAAGATGGAGGGCTTGATATCCAGATTTCTGGAACGAGATGAATCATATCCGTACCGGATCAACGGAGGTTTCTGGGTAAGGGTTGATCCATCAATCCAAAGCCATGGCTTTCCTCTCACCTCACTTCCGATCTGTGGAGCCAAAGAATACTTGTCTTTCAGTTTCTGTGCCATGGTTGTGAAATCCGTCCGCGCCACGAAACCGTGGTTGAAAGCAAGGGGATCATCCTTCCAGGGTTTCTTAGGTGGTGCGAAATGGCTTACTCGTTATTAAAGTCCAGGAACTCACAAAAGTGAGTAAAACAATCCGAGGAAGGGGGTTCTCATCCCTTTTCCCGGTCCCCCAAATCGGGGATTTTGGGACGGCCCAGGTCGGAGCCTTCGGCGTTACACCACACCGCCACTTCCGGGCCTCCTCCTCCAGCTGCAAAAGATCCTGGCCACAAATTCGCTCGAATCCACAGGCCCCGAAGCACCCCCAACCATCGACCGAAAAAGAGCATCTCTTTCGAGGCGATGCGTTCGGAGCAGGGCCGCCGACCGGACAGAAGCATAGCGGTGTTTGGCAGCCGGGCTCCAGCATATCCAATGGAAACCATCATACGGGCCGCGCGCTGCATCGTCGCAACAAAAAGACCAGAATCAGTCAATTGTCCATCAAAGACAGCAATCCGAGGCCGCGCGAGCTCTACCAAGAAAGCATATTAGGGCCGGGTTACCAGCCGGTCCCTCGCTCCCTCCTGCAGGCAGTAAGTGTCTTTTGATGGACTCTGAAAACATGAACAGGAAGCAAGAACTGAAACTACTTTGGTACTCAGTTCAAAGCACTCTATGTTTCAACCACCTTCTATGGGATTCCCTCTATATTGAGGGCGGGCTTACTTTTGATCACTTGAGAGGTGGTTCCCACTTACAATGCATGGCCTTATATATACCAAGACACCAAAACCCAAAACCCAATAGGAAAACAAAAAAAGAAACACCAAAAAAAACAAAAACACCAAAACACCAAAAAACACCAGGAAACACCACAAACAATTAAAAATTCACCGCCAAACACCAAACACCCCGCGGCCGGAGTTCTCCGCGCTCGTCCGACGAGCGCTCGCCTTCATGGCCAGCGGCTCCCGGCGCTGCTCCAAGGCCTCGAAGCGGTCCAGGCGCTGCAGCCGGGCCTCGTTGCGGGCTTTCGGCGCGGACGCGGGAGGGCTGCCTTCGTGGTTCGTGGGGGTTTCTCGTTGAAAAACGGGGGCCGATACCTTGGAAGTTATCCCGCACAAGGGGCGTCTTGAAATGGGGGAAGCAGACAACATCATGGGTTTGTCGGGTCGATTTCCCTGAAGCGCCAAAAACAGTGTCAGACAAAGAGCTTCGGGTTGCTTTTGGCTCCCATCCGATCCCATTGAGTAAATGAACACCTAAGGGATATACAACCCACCACCACCCTCAGAAACGGCTTTCAAGGATCCAAAGCTGCGATCCATATATTGGCAAAGTCCAGGGACCTTGTTGCTAGAATGGGCCAAACCCAAACAGGGACTAAAGTCCAGGAACTCAGGAGCCGAGGCGAAACCAGAATCTCCATGCTTGTGTTTTTCGTCTGGGAAAAACAAATGAGACCGGATGTCCAGTGATACGGCAACCAACCAGACTCAACCAAACCGTGGCAAAAGAACAGAAAGCTGGGGGGTTCCCTTGTTCCTCTACCGGCAATACTTCGGGCATCCACCGTCCCCTAAACCCAAAACACACATTCTTATTCGCACATGGAAAGAAACCGTCCCGTCAACTTCTAGCTATGGGTTAGTTGTCAAGAAATCATGCGTGTGCCTTTTGGCTTCCCGATAAAAACCAACCGTGGAGAATCACACTGACCAGAGAATCTGATGGAGGCGATCGGGAAATTGGTGGTGTGCAACTGTGCAACCCTGATGTTCACCTGCCACCTATTTAGTCCCCATGTGGGCTATTGGTTCAGTACTCATTGTCTAAGTCCGATCGCCTGTGTCAGCAACAACAGATGGGATGACCCGAAATGAAACAGGGTTGATCCCATTTTGCCAACCAACGTGAGCCCTTGCCAAAATTCGGCATTTGCCTGAAGAACAGCCAGGGATTTACAACTCGGAACGGTCAATCCTCAACATCATTTTTTGTAAATGGCGATGAGCTCCGAAAATCAGCAAACGATTTGGAGATTTCGCGCATACCGAACCCCCGAGATTGGCTTCGGTCTTCGTTCCCTTTGAAATATAGGTGATGTTGACCCCAGAGCCAACTAGACCCCCTTGCCACGAGGGGGGTCTAGTTGGCTCCAAAAGCGGAGTCTGAATCCAATCACTAAAAGGAATTGGACACCGCCATCTCTCAAAATTAACCAAAAGTTCCGCTTAATCTGGGAAGCCCATGATCTTCAATGGACGAAATGGGCAAACCAGAAGAAGGTCAGATCCGAAGAAAGGTACGCTCCCATGAGACCAGGTATGTTGAACAACTGCAAGCAGTTCAAGGCCACCTCACATCTTCCGGTTTCCCCAAAGCTGTTTCCATGGTCTCGGATCTAGAGGTTGCAGGAGTGAAAGCTTGTGCACGGCCTGCCAGTCCAAACACGAGCCCAGAAGACGAGCCCACTTAGGTGGAGGAATCGCTAAGTTAGATTTGCCCTGGCAACCCACCAAAGCCGTGGTTGTAAGTCTACTGGGTGGGCTGAGGACTGGACTGGACTTGGCTGATTCGTCCCATCAAAAAGAACAAACCCAAAACGCGCAAGACGGGTGATCCGAGACAAGTGGATGAGCAAGACCAAGGTCCATGGCTAAGTCCCATTCGGCTGTGGGTCAAACATATGTACCCAAAATGGAGAGACTTGGCGAATGGAACCAAGGACTAAACCTGTCCGGTGGTCTTTGTTTGACCCATACCCAAATAGGGGTTGACTACTCCGGGATCAACATTCACCTTACCAAGATTGGAATCGCCCCCGTTGGAATCGCGATTCCACAGCTACCAATCAGCTACCAGACAGGTGCGTAGGCTATTTCTGGAGTCCCAGGGTTGCGACTTACCTTCAGTCCCTACTGTAGATGGTTGCGAAATCCTCTTATAGGCACCACCTAAGGAACCCTGGAATGACTTGATTCCCCTGCAAATACCAACAAACCTTCTGGTTTCAACCCTGGTTTCCGTTCGTGGTGCACTTTTTCTGGATTTCGCCTTTCCATCCCACCGTGCCATCGAAGCCAATCCGGCCATCCATCGCCGCTCCGCTGCGCCGCTCCGAGGCCCCGGGGCTTTCCGAGGGTTTTCCGGGGCCCCGGGCGGCGGAGGCCCTGAGCTGCTCCTCCAGGCGTGCGGCCTTGGCCTCCAGCGCCAGCTCCTGACGCTTTCTTTTTCGGGGGCTGCTTTCGGGTTGCTCTTTTTCCCCCCTCCCCCCTTTTTTCCGGGGGGGCGTTCCCGGGGGGCCGTTGTTTCCCCCCCGTTTTTTTCTATATGATTGGATGTGTTGTTCTTTTCTCTTCTTTTTTTTGGGGGACCGGTTTGGTGGGCTTCCTGATGCCTTGTAAAGCAACCCCTGAAAATAGCTTGGTGATCCCTTTAAAGCAACCCCAATAGCTGGCGTCCCCTTGAAGCAACCCCTGAAATAGGTGGTAGTATTTTAAGGGAAGCCACAAGCAAACAAGGAAACCAGGGTGCGTCTCTTTGAGCAGAAGCTTTGAAATGAGAGCCTTTGGTTTCCCTTGAACAAACCCCCGAAAAGGGTACCGAGCCTCAAACAAATGTCACACCGACTTTGAGGTTCAAACAACCAGAATAGCAAATCCGGAAAACACAACTAGGAATGGTACGAAGGGATCGCCTCAGAAGGCAGTTTGCCGGCGGAGGTTTCCACCGTTGGAGGTGGGTTCAAACGCCTACTCTTGCCCTGGAAAACAAAAAACAAAAACATGAGATGACGCCCAACAAGCGGGGATCGATCAAAGCCTTAGGGGCTTCGAGAAGCCCGGAAGCAGCGCTTTTCTGCAGGTTGACGTAGGCTTTCCCGCGCGCGATCTAAAACCAAAAGGGGGCAGCCCCCAACAAAAAGACACACCCAAATGGTGAGAGCTCCGGCAGTTCAAGAGGTGTTTCTCGACCTAAAATTCGACTCCATCACATGTTCACGGGTTCCCGAACAGAAAGGCCCTTTGCCAAAACCTTACCAGAAGCAGGTCCCCAACCCTGTTTTTGGATGATTTGCCTTTCGGATTTTCTTTGAAAAAGAAATCAGCGAACGAAGCCCCATTTCGTCCGCGCTCACTCCGTTGGCCAAAACTCTGCTTGAACTCCAAAATTGAACGCTCCCATCAAGCTCACGAAAGTGAGTTGCCCCCAAATGTTTAAAGAATTTCCATGGGAACAAAATGGAAAGGATTCGCGCCCTTTCTTGGTAAGGGAAACCTCAAAATCAAATGGAAACAAGGAAGCAACCCACAGAAGTCTCTCGGGCGAAAACCACAAAACACCTCTCAGGGCTCCCTGTATTTCCCCTTAAAACAACTCCCCACCAAGGGGTACTCATTTTTCACGGGCCAAAAAGGCGATGTGGGTATGGGTCAAAATCAAACCACCAGGAATTGGACCGCTGGTTTTAGTCCATGTTTCCATTTGCCAGGGCAAGCCATTTGGGGGTTACCCTATTTTTGACAACCACGGCCACATGGCCATGGGTCAAAATCAAAATCGTACCCCCAACATCCCAATCCAACCACTAAAATAGACCAAAATGGGTGGTGCACCTACCCCAACATGGTACCATTGGTTTTGACAACCACAGCCATGTTTCAAACCCCAGACCCATCCAACGGCATCCTCGTCGCTGATGGTCTCTGGCGCCGCCGGCTGTCGCAACGCCTTCAGCACGCAGCTCCTCGTCGGGAGGGGCAGGGCTGTGCCTTCTTTTTTGGCGCTCGGTTTGAGTGGTCAAAGCAATAAAGGAAAACCACAGCCATTTTTGGGGTGTCCCCCCCAAAAAACAACAACAACTCGGTTTGGTGGATTTGAGCGTCACACTTTGAACCCTCCCTGAAAGATGCCCCAAACCACCCCAGAGCAGGCCTATCTGGGCCTATGGACCAAATCCATAGCAGGATCAGCTGCACAAAAGAGAGGCACCACCAGAGGTCTCGCGGTGCAACTGGGATCAACATGTTGACTATTTCCAAAACTGACTTTAGATGGCAGAAGAATGGACATGGAACCCAACAGAGGGTGAATTTTAAAGGAACGTGGTCTGCTGAAGAGTCAATGTGGACAGGAGGGTATCAACGGATCTGGACACTTACTGGAACTTCATAAGCGAGCTCGAATGAAACCCGGATTTAGGAACTGGGCTTTAGGTTGGTTGTTGCTTAAAAGCTTGATTTGGTGGGAGGATGGGCTTAGGGTTATCTTGGCAATCGGGTTGGTGGGTGTTCAAGCGGGAATTTGGGTGGGCCTTGGGGATGGTTTGTAGCGGCATCTGTTTCCCGATCCCCCAAATGGATCAGGACGTCTTTGGCGAACCTCACGTTTTCGCGTGCCCAAAGAAAAGGGAGGGGCCGCAACAGGCCAGGCTGAAAGCATGCAGGTCCCTTCCATGGACACAAACAACTGTATCAGATTCTGTTTCTTGCCAGCCTAAAGGACCCAGGCAGAAAAGATTCACCTGGGGCCATGACTAAACCTGGACCAAGGGGAACCAAAGGTGCTTGTTGGTCGGCTTTCTTTGGGCTGAGTATCTGGTCTACCCTAGACTTCCCCAGGTCAACTCAAAGGGACTCGCTGGTCCTTGTTGTATTAAAGGATGCATCACCCCCCCAACGAACAAAAACGCGAAGCAAGTAAAACTATGATGGCTCCAAGCGAGTTCATCAAAACCAATCTCAAGAAAGAGACTCAGTTGCCCAAAGGACCCAGAAATAAAAGATCCTTTCGAACCACCAAATATGGCCCAACTCAGGGAAACCTGATCCCAGTGAGCTATGAGGCTTCATAGCCACAGGCAACAAGTGAAATCATGATCGCCCCCTCCCCCCCCCAAAACAAGAGGAGCCCGGGAACCCAAAAGCAAACCAGCCTCACTCCCCATGGCATGTGGATCCCGTTGTTTTCCGGCTCAAGGGTCCGAAGGCAAACCAAGGTTTAAGTTATTCACAGTTGGGAAATCAACCCCAAAACAGATGAAGAAGGGGAGCAACCGCGACTCAAGCCGGATTGGCAGCTAGCAGCCTGTGCTCTGACCAAAGCACAGAGAAAAAGGCAAAGGCACGGGTGAAACATGACAGGCCCCGCACTACATGGAAGGCACGAAGTCATCCGATTCATCATGAAGAACCAATCGCAGAAATCCGAAAATGGATCCGCACAAACTACCACTCCCAAATTGGAAGCAAAGCATAAGCTCGCTCTACACCCATCTGAAACAAGTCTGAGACACAGTGTTACAACACGATCTGAGTAGACCGGGGTCAGCTGTTCGGATGTTCATGCGCCCTTTTGTTTGGGCCGAGTGTGCTCAGCATATTCATGTCAACGTGCTTCCAGGCTGCTTCCAAATAAGTAGGGCGAACCCCAAGAGGCCACAGACTCTGAAGAGAGGGTTCGTCCTAGAAACACATTGGCGCCATTTGTTCGGGTCAGGTGTGCGGCAAGAAGGACAATCTTGGCGCACCTGGAACGCCGGGCTGTTCACCTGGAGCCGTGCACGTGGCCTTCACAAACTTGCTTCGTAAGCTTGCTTGGATTCGTTAGTTTCTCCACCTATGTTCCCATTCGCAACCAATTGCAACTGGTGACTTTGTGGAAAGGGCCGCGCACGTTGTCAATTGGACGCGTGTGGGTGGCAAGTTGGGTGGATTCGCCGCAGGTGTGTGGAGACGGGGCCGGCGCTGCGCTTTTGCGGGGGGCTCGGTGTGGACAAGCCTCGGTCACTTGGTGGGTCTGACGCCTGTCTGAAACAAGTCTGAGACACAGTGTTACAACACGATCTGAGTAGACCGGGGTCAGCTGTTCGGATGTTCATGCGCCCTTTTGTTTGGGCCGAGTGTGCTCAGCATATTCATGTCAACGTGCTTCCAGGCTGCTTCCAAATAAGTAGGGCGAGCCCCAAGAGGCTACAGCTTCTGAAGAGAGGGTTCGTCCTAGAAAACACATTGGCACTGTTTGTTCAGGTCAGGTGTGCGGCAAAAAGGACAATTATGGCGTACCTGGAGCGCCGGGCTGTTCACATGGAGCCGCGCATGTGGCGGTTGCCGCATTTCATGAGCGTCCACCGCGTCAGTCTCGCTCGCGGGCGGTTTCCGCATGTCACGAGCGTCCACCGCGCCAGTCTCGCTCGCGGGCGGTTTCCGCATGTCACAAGCGTCCACCGCGCCAGTCTCGCTCGCGGGCGGTTTCCGCATGTCACGAGCGTCCACCGCGCCAGTCTCGCTCGCGGGCGGTTTCCGCATGTCACGAGCGTCCACCGCGCCAGTCTCGCTCGCGGGCGGTTTCCGCATGTCACGAGCGTCCACCGCGCCAGTCTCGCTCGCGAGCGGTTTCCGCACGAGCGTCCACCGTGCCAGTCTCGCTCGCGGGCGGTTTCCGCATGTCACGAGCGTCCACCGCGTCTCAGTCTCGCTCGCGGGCGGTTTCGATGTCACGAGCCTCCAAGTCTCTCGCTCGCGGGCGGTTTCCGCATGTCACGAGCGTCCACCGCGCCAGTCTCGCTCGCGGGCGGTTTCCGCATGTCACGAGCGTCCACCGCGCCAGTCTCGCTCGCGGGCGGTTTCCGCATGTCACGAGCGTCCGCACACGCGTCCAGTCTCGCTCGCGGGCGGTTTCCGCATGTCACGAGCGTCCACCGCGCCAGTCTCGCTCGCGGGCGGTTTCCGCATGTCACGAGCGTCCACCGCGCCAGTCTCGCTCGCGGGCGGTTTCCGCATGTCACGAGCGTCCACCGCGCCAGTCTCGCTCGCGGGCGGTTTCCGCATGTCACGAGCGTCCACCGCGCCAGTCTCGCTCGCGGGCGGTTTCCGCATGTCACGAGCGTCCACCGCGCCAGTCTCGCTCGCGGGCGGTTTCCGCATGTCACGAGCGTCCACCGCGCCAGTCTCGCTCGGGGGCGGTTTCCGCATGTCACGAGCGTCCACCGCGCCAGTCTCGCTCGCGGGCAGTTTCCGCATGTCACGAGCGTCCACTGCGCCAGTCTCGCTCGCGGGCGGTTTCCCCACTAGCGTCCACCACGCGAGCGTCCACCGCACCAGTCTCGCTCGCGGGCGGTTTCCGCATGTCACGAGCGTCCACCGCGCTAGTCTCGCTCGCGGGCGGTTTCCGCATGTCACGAGCGTCCACCGCGCCAGTCTCGCTCGCGGGCGGTTTCCGCATGTCACGAGCGTCCACCGCGCCAGTCTCGCTCGCGGGCGGTTTCCGCATGTCACGAGCGTCCACCGCGCCAGTCTCGCTCGCGGGCGGTTTCCGCATGTCACGAGCGTCCACCGCGCCAGTCTCGCTCGCGGGCGGTTTCCGCATGTCACGAGCGTCCACCGCGCCAGTCTCGCTCGCGGGCGGTTTCCGCGTGTCACGAGCGTCCACCGCGCCAGTCTCGCTCGCGGGCGGTTTCCGCATGTCACGAGCGTCCACCGCGCCAGTCTCGCTCGCGGGCGGTTTGCGCATGTCACGAGCGTCCACCGCGCCAGTCTCGCTCGCGGGCGGTTTCCAGCCAGCCTCGCGCGCCCAGTCTGCACCACACCGCCGTCCCCCCAGCCAGCCAGTCTCGCTCGCGGGCGGTTTCCAGCCACGCCCAGTCTGCGTCCCCCCAGCCAGCCCCACACCGCCGTCCCCCCAGCCAGCCTCGTACGCCCGGTCTGCACCCCCAGCCGGCATCGCACGCCCGGTCTGCAGCACAACGAAATGGAAATCCCTTCTTATCTCCGTCATCACAGCTTGTATCGCTCCCAGGCACCTTAAGAGAAAACCTAAATAAAGCAGAACCCAAGCATCAGAGATGCTTTTGGGAAAAAAGAAAGAGGCTTCATAGCCACGTGAATTCATAGTCGCCTCCCCCAAAAGAAAAGAAACGTGAGCCTTGGAAAAACTACGGCATCTCAAAAACAAAACAAAAAACATCAAAAAGCCGAGGGACCAGGACCGGCCACTTTGGTTCACACCCCGGCCGGACTGGCGATCCCGCGATCCCTCCAAGCGATCCTCTCGCCGCGGCGGCAGATGTGCTTCAGCGCGCGCGCCACCGCCTGCCATGACAACCCTTTGGAGCTCACGGAACGTGGAGCTCAACGAAAAGATACTGTGGATGGTTGCGAAATCCTCTTAGGCACCACCCAAGAAAACCTGGTGTCTGATGATTCCCCTGCAAATACCAACAAACAATGGTTTCAACCATGCTTTCCAAGTGGTGGAGGAGTTCGTCCATCCACAGTATGGGGGCTGATCAATATTCGGTTCAGCCCCCAGCTTTTTCGCCATGGGTAGCTTCTCCCATTTGGCGAAAATGATCCACTCTGTTTCGTGGTGTTCCAACCAACGCTCACCCTTTGCATTTCGGACCTTCTGATCAATCCCCAGTTTCAACCATGGTGGCAAAGTGGTGCGATTTCTGGATCTCGCATCCACATGTTTCAACTTTGGAGACCCCGACTCCTAGGGCCCCGCCTCCTCTAGGCCTCGGCCCATGCTCTGGAGCTGCCAGGCTTCGCCTGCCACGTGGACGCGAAAGCCGAAATGTCCGACTTCGCAGCTCGTTGAAACCAGAACCCTCCTCGGTTGGAATGGGGAATCCATATAACACGTCTTTGGTTGGGATTTGCAGGGGAATCGAACTCGAAACTTCCCAGGCTTTCTGAACGGATGTCTGGATTTCGCCACCATCCACTCACTTGCCTACTTAGGACCTGGAAATAAAACCACTTTGATCTGGAACCTTGACTTACAGGCTGCCATGAATGGAAAGCCAAAAGGCCAGATCCGGTCGATTCGCTTTGCTTGCAAGTGAGCCTATTAAAGCAAAAAAAACGATGAACCCAAACAAAAACCGTCAACCATTGTCTGATCCCAAAATCTTTTTGATTGGACGACTCCTGACGAATCCGGGTCTGCAGGTTGCCAGACCGATATGACCTGTACAAAGGGGTCAAATGCATTTGGCTGTGAGTCAAGACTAGGTAACGGAGGGCACTGAAGAAGGCGCTTTCCCTGTGATTTTTCGCGGCCTGGAAGAACAAACGCACATGGTCATGTGGGTTTCCCTCACGTAAACATGTATGTACCCCCTTCGAGAATCCTGGTTCAAAATCAGAACACCTTCGCCCAAACAAGCTGGGCACCTCGGATGACATGCCAATGGGACCTCCTTCGCCCCGAGCCCGGAGGTTCCGGAGCCGCGGCCTAAACCCGCCAGCTCTTGCGAGCATGCCGCGCTCAGAGCCTGGACATCGAGCCGGCGCAAGCGCCGGGCCACGTCGTCGTTTTATTTTTTTATATGTTTTTTTTTATTTTTTTCCGCTTAAGGGCGCCGTTGTTGGGGTGGCTTTAAAGGGAAACCAACAACCACAACCATCTTCTGGGGTCTGATTCCTTGTTTAAGACACACCCTGACAGAGTCACCCTGGTTGTCTGTTGGGGTATGCCTCAAATTGAGGCCCAAAAATGGCTGGCTTGCTGGTTTACCTCACCCACAAAAAAGAATGGCACGGCTCCCAAAATAGGACAACCCAGGTAGAACTGTTCTGAGTCCGTTCGTGTGCAAGGTCACCACTCAGGATCCAGGAATGGATCCGCGTGCGGATCGATCGTGGAGGGATGGACCGATCCACTCCCTCCTTCGCAGGTGAGCATCCTCTATCTTCCATTTGGTTAAGGCCCAGGAAGAAACAAACATATTTCTAGTAGTGATGATGTCCTTTTAAACCCAACAAGGGAAAATAAAAACAAAAAAATATTCTTAAGCAAATGGAGGTTATCTTACCTGGTGGAAAATCACTGCTCCATTCCCACAGCTATGTTAAATCAAGCAGGGGATTTGTCTTGGTATCACAGAAAGGAACCTAAAATCTCGAAAACCCACGTTTGTGGGTTCTCAGGGTAGGAGGGAATGACCCCAACCATCCTGCCAACCAAACCATGTTCCACCCCCCCCCCCTTTTGGAGACGTTCCCAGCCATGTTTTTCTCCACGACGGGAGCCTTAACCTCCGTTTGCTTAAGTCACCTCAAAAAAACTAACTAGTTCCAGTGGTGATAGATCCCTTTAAAAGGATTCCTACAACAAGGGTCCCTAACGGATGGTTGGGTTTTGGGTGGTTTCTTGAGGATGATTCTTCTTGGGTTGTTGTTTGAACCTGGTGCGATTTGGTTGGTAGAGATGGTTCTATTTGAGGATGCTTTTTCAGGTGGGCGTACCTCTTTACACATTTCTCCATAGGCGCTTGGACCCTTCGAGACAGGGATGCCCCCGGAAGCTGAAAGGGTCCCCCGTACCTTCATGAAACGAAGCTGTGGATTTTTCATTGGGGTCAAGATGGAGGGTTCGCTTTGGGGTTTGGGCTTTTGGACTTAGGGTTCCACACCCCCCCCTCGAACCGGATGGCCGGTGGAGACAGGTCTTTCCCTAGGTCCTCCAGATTTGAGAGGTTCGAATAAGTTGGTCCCAACTTTTTTCTGCAGTCTATTTTAGGGGAACCCTCCCAACCAAAAAAGTTGGAAAAAAAGGGCACCTAGCTGGGGGACCTAGTCAAGGGTTTGGTTGGAGGCTTGGGAAACCCAACCCCCCCCAAACGGCTGGTGGAGCCACCAGGTCTTTCCCTAGGTCCTGCAGTAGAGAGCTTCGAATAAGGCTACCCGACTTTTTTTGCTGTAGTCTATTTTAGTAGGGGAACCCTCCTGAGAGAAAGAAGGGCACCTGGAAACGTAGGAGACCCCGACTCCTTCCAGGGCCCTTCGACCCCCGACCCCTTCGGCCCCTTCGACCCCTCAACGCTAGCTGGGGGACCTAGGCAAAAATACCACACAAAGAGCATTCCGGTCCACCCTGATCCCAAATGCAAGCAAACTTACTGGAGCGAAAGGGCACCTAGCTGGGGGACCTAGTCAAGGGTTTGGTTTGGGGTTTGGGCTTTTGGACTTGGGGTTCCACCCCCCCCCACAAAAAACAAAACAAAAAGCGGATGGCCGGAGCCAGGTCTTTCCCTTCGGCCGTAACCGAAGGCTCCTGCGCCAGCATCGCCCGGGCGCCGGTGCCCTGCGCCGGCGCCACGTCGCTGCGCGCGACGGCGCCCCGGGTGTCCGGGTACCTCGGCGGGTGGAACCGCGGCGGAGCTTTGGCCCTGGGCGGGACTGACTGACTCACACCTCCTGACTTGGTTGGTCCAAGAAAAATGGTCGAGATTTCTTGTTGACCACCAAGGTGGTCTTTGGAAATGCAAGGTGATCACCTTTTGGGGTCACTGGTGGCCAAATCGGGGAGTCGATCTGGTCGATTCGCATTGGGCAAGTGAGACGATGATTTACCCGCAACCTCACCTCCGATCGAGTGGATTGGCAAAAAAGGGCCGAACTCTTGTTTTTTGCCGCTAGAATGGTCCAAACGCAAAAAGTGACTAAAGTCCTGGGATCCAGTGTTTTTGGAGGGCTGGTTTGACAAGTACCTGGGGAATGCCTATTTAAGACACGCCCATTTACGCTCCACAGCCTCAAATGGTCTTTGCGTAAAATACGGTCAGGTGATATCCCCGAGGTGCGCTTTTGCGGTTAGCGCGAACCAGCCAGCGGGCCCAGTGACCGGAACTGGTGAGCGCGCAAGCCGGAAAGGTGGGAACCACCGTCACCGGGCCCTGCACACGGTTTTGCTTGTACCTCTGTAACTAGGTCCTTCAGTAGGGAGGTTAGAATGAGGGTACCGTTTCTTTTTTCTGTCGTCTATTTTAGTAGGGGAACCCTCCCCCAAAAAAGGGGAGAGAAGGGCACTACTGGGGGACCTAGATAAACTGTGCCTCCTTGTGACATTTGGGTTTGTCTCAGAATTGGGTATCCAAAAAAGTGGCGGCGGTTCTCCTTCTGTTTTCGTTTCAAAACCATCCCAAACAGGGTACCCTGAAAATAACAGGAGACCCATTGGTGTGTGCCATGACTAAAAGGGAGAACCAAAAGGTCGCAAGGTCGATTCGCTTTGAACAAGTGAGAAACGTCAACACTTGCTGGTGCGATATGTAGGGAATGAGGCAATGAGGGAATGAACCTGGGGATTCCCTTACAGGAAACCACAAGTTGGATGGTTTAAATCGGGGTCATTCCATTTCTCCTTCCCTGCCTATCGCACCAGCAAGCCAAGGAAGCCTAACCCCTTCAAAGCTTCGAAGGGCGGCACGGTGGCGCGGCTTGCCGGGCGGGACACAATGTTTGAGGCCCCCCCCTTTCAAAGTTGGTCGCCAAAAATGGAAACCCATCGGATAGGTCCTCCAGTAGAGAGGTTAGAATAAGGGTACCAACTTTTTTCTGTGGTCTACTTTAGGGGAACCCCCCCCCCCAACACAAAAGGGATTCAAGGGCACTACTTGGGGGCCTGGCTGCAAATTTGGTCGCCACAAATGGTCGCCACACATCGGAACTTGTTCGAAACTTCGAAAACGGGGGCCCTTGTGAGGAGCCTTGCAATGAGAAGGAAGGTCAACATTGACATTGGGGGACCTCTTGCCGGCCCTCCGCATGAAGATGCAAGCCAAATAATCATTGAGGGTGTTGCCCATTGAAATATTCAGCGCCAAATATATGAATACACGATACTCTTCACTCGGGCTCTGCTTTTGCATGGCGCTAAGCTCGAACCGGGTGCCCCCGATTAAAATTCAGAGCCAAATATGTGAATACACGATGCTCTTCGCTCGGGCTCTGCTTTTGCATGGCGCTAAGCTCGAACCGGGTGCTCCAGATTAAAATTCAGAGCCAAATACGTGAATGCTCGTTGCTCTTCACTCGGACTCTGGGTGAAGACGATGTGTCTGTTGATGGCGCTGAGCTCAAACCGGACGCTCCTGAATAGAATTCAGAGCCAAATACGTGAATGCTCGTTGCTCTTCACTCGGACTCTGGGTGAAGACGATGTGTCTGTTGATGGCGCTGAGCTCAAACCGGACGCTCCTGAATAGAATTCAGAGCCAAATACGTGAATGCTCGTTGCTCTTCACTCGGACTCTGGGTGAAGACGATGTGTCTGTTGATGGCGCTGAGCTCAAACCGGACGCTCCTGAATAGAATTCAGAGCCAAATACGTGAATGCTCGTTGCTCTTCACTCGGACTCTGGGTGAAGACGATGTGTCTGTTGATGGCGCTGAGCTCAAACCGGACGCTCCTGAATAGAATTCAGAGCCAAATACGTGAATGCTCGTTGCTCTTCACTCGGACTCTGGGTGAAGACGATGTGTCTGTTGATGGCGCTGAGCTCAAACCGGGTGCTCCACGAATTATGTGAATGCAAGATGCTCTTCGCCCGGACTCGGGCAAAGTTGAGGTGGCTGTTCATGGCGCTGAGCTCTAACAGTGTGACTAAAACGAGAGATTTGAGAGATGCCTGCGATGATCCCATGAACACGCGCAATTCGAATGTCCGCACTGAGCAATCTCAAATGGCCAGGGGCCCTTCACAATTTGCAGGGAGGCTGCAGGAAAATGCAATATTACCCATTGCTTTCCCACTGACGGCCACAATGATGCTGCTGAAATAGGTATCTCTATATATATATAGAGAGAGAGAGATAGATAGATAGATAGATAGATAGATAGATAGACAGATAGATTAGATTAGATTAGATTAGATTAGATTAGCTCAGATTAGATTAGATTAGATTAGAGATGGGATAGGATAGGATGGGATGGGAGACGATAGGATAGGTTAAGATAAGATAAGATGAGACTAGATGGATAGATCGATGGATAGATGGAGCTAATCCTTAAAAATATAGATATATACTCGTGTGTATGGCTTGGCATGTTCTGCTTGGAGTGGTCGTGGCATCCCTGATTCCATCAGTACAGTGCCCTCCAATCTCCGCCCCTCGACGGGCAACTGGCTTCTACTGAGTAACACACAGCTGCCGTTTAACTAGGGGAAAAAGTAACAACTAGACTACGTCCTCCAGTCGTTTGAGGTTGGAATAAGTTGGTACCCTTTCTTTTTCCTGTCTAATTTAGTAGGGGAACCCTCCCCAAGAAAAAGGCAAAAGGGCGCTGCTGGGGGACCTAGTAGAAGCTGCCTCGATCTTTATGGCCGTGGATTTTCCTTGAAACAAGGCCCCAACAACCAAATAGTTCCTGTTGCTTCCCGTCAAAATCATCCAAAGCAGCCCCTATGTTGCGCCATAGTCATTGTTCTAGGCAAATCAAATACTCCCCCCCAGCCCCGCGACTTTTTCTGGGAACTGAAGGCCGTCTTCGAAATAGAGGAAATCTAATATTAGAAGGGGGTCGGATCGAATGCTTCGTTCCGAATCCACAACTGGGGCCGCTACTCCAAATACCTGCGTTCTGAAGTGTATTTAGTGGAAAACCAAGTTTTTGTGGTAAACACCTCGCTTTTTCAGTCAGGGGTTGACATCATACGGGTGTTTCATTTGTTGAGTTGGTACCTGGTCAAGGGAAACCAAGACTGGGCTGCCACTAAACCAACAAAAAACCACTCAATACCTTTCTGGAACCGCGTGGCTTGCTTTTCCTTCTGGGCCGCTGAGTTTTCCCCTTTCTCCAAAAACGGTCTATGTCCAGCCCCTTTTTGCCCGGCTCATGTGACTGGTCCCAAAAACCGAGAAAAAAACAAAAAACAAAAAAGCACGGGAAGCGGGAAAGACGCCGCCACGCCGATCTTTCCCCGAGCTTTCGCGAGCTTTCGCGCGCCGGGTCCGTGGTTTCGCCCCGGGCCCCGACTCTAGCTCCTTCAAGGCCAGGCTGATGCCGATGCTTTGGCCCTTCTCCACCTGCACCGATGGTTCTGTTTGATGTGGCCGCTCGTCTCTTCTTTGTTATTTTCCTTCTTTTTTTTGTATTATTATATATATTTTTTGGGGGGGTCTGGATTTGGTTTTCATTATTTCTGTGTTTTGGGGGGGGGGGGGAGGGTTGTTTGTAGGGATTGTTTGGTTGGTTTTCTTTGGTTGTTGTTGGGGAGGCCCCGCATCCTTCGTTTGGGCTCAAGAAAATCTGATGCACCAGGTTACGCAGACTTGAGTCTTTTCCCATCACCAGATGTCAACTCGGGGATTCCAAGCTGATTCAGCTACGGGTGAAAAAAGTCCGTTTGGGCAGATTGCAGGGAGGGGTCCCGGGGGTCCGGGGCTCTTGGAGCTACCACCTGGGTACAATGTCTTGGGGGTGGGACATGTTGTCTGATTTCTGGGGATCGGCTCTAAAACTTCCCCAGTTAAAGGTTGCCTTTTGGCTTTACCTTCCCCCCCGGCTAAAAGGAAGCTCCCGCAACCCCTTTTGGAAGACTTGGTTCATCTTGGTTCCATTTACACAGGCCTGTTGGGAGCTTCTATGTTAATGTTGACCCGGATTAATACCCCCCAGTTTATTAATATGGGGGTGTTCCCTCCAAAAGTGACAAATCCCCACTAAAACCAGGGACACCCCCATTTCAATAAACTGGGGTTTATTCTGGGGTTTATTAATCCGAGGGAGTGTACCCATTCTTGGTTGTCATGAGGTGAGAGCTCGGAGCTGCATCGGGGAGTAGACAGCAACTGGAACCGGTTCCCAACAGCCCGTCGTGAACGGAGGAAAGACAATGTTGGGTTCCATTTTTAAAGAGCACTTTGTTTCCTTGAACCATCAAGGCACGCTCCTGCCTTTTCACTAAAGCAGAGCATCACCAGAGCCTTTTCAAAAGGATCAACACCATCAGAGCATCACTAAACATCACTAAACATCATTAACTGTGGTGGGTTCCATTTTACAAGAATACATTATTATTTATTTATTTATTTTAAAAAAAGAGGCAGGAGCAGCACTTGGTTTCCCTGAATCATCAAGGCACGATGGTGCTGAGTTTCTTGGGTTTTCTTTAAGGCCGTAGCCCATGGGGCCAGGCTTTGCCGCACCCCTTGAAGGCCATGGAACGAAGATGATGTTCTCATCCCCCCCCCCCGCGCAACCTCTTTCTTGCAACCGGGATTCCACTGCTTTCGGGTGTGAACTTAACTAAAAACAGTGCCGTTGTGGTGAACTCACCTTGGGTGCCGTAGTTGGAAGAATGAATGGGCAGGAACTAACGTTGGACCGGCTCCGCAAGGCGTCCTTCAGTTCTTGGTGTGAGTTTGTGGTGCGTTCCTATTCTTGTTGTTCTTCCTTGGTTCTGTTCATGTTTGGTTCTACCATCGTGGTTAAAGGGAAGCCAAGAAGAGACCGCCTTTTGCAGGCCCCGATTGCTCCAACCTGGCTTTGACTCAAAACATAAGCCAGGATGTCTTTATGTGAGACCAGGAATCCCACCATAAATTGACTCAATTCCGCCCTACATCGCCTTGGTGAGTTTCGGCTCCCGCAGAGTTTTGGCGCCGCGCGGGGGGCAAGGACACCTCGAAGAGTCGACTGCGAAGAGTCGACAGACGACCTGCGAAGAATGGGTCTTGTGGGTGCCTGCCCCTGCGTCACTTTGGAGCGGGCTACTAGTCCCCTGTACATGACACTAGCAGCCATGAGGGGGTGTATGTACATGACACAATTTTGAGGGACGAGGTCCCCTTGCTTGCCCTTTTAAGTAACGCCCCAAGTTTGTGGGGTGATGACCCAGTTTAAGGGTTTGAGGGTCCAGGTACGTTAAAGAAGGTGCAAAGAATTAGAAGGGCGGATATCACCTAGGCCTGCCACCGTCCCTTGCTAACCTTCAGGTGAAGGACGCCGGGAACATGTCGCAGCCAGGGTCAAAATGACATGAGGACATGCAAACAAGTGAGTGAGTCTCGGAGAGCACAAAAATTGCCAAAAGAACAAGAACCTGGTTTCGAAAAGATGCATCCAAACATCACCTGATTCGGAGACCCAAATTAGAACATGTCTGTGGTGACTCAAAGTTCACGAGAGCGGAAAGAAGGAAGCCCCAAGTAAAGCACAAAGGACTTTCATGGGTTGGTTCACTGTAGCCCCCATCGGTGCGCCCGTTCTTCCTTGCAAGAAGCGACACCCAGCAATACCAACCAGTCTTTGGAGGGGGGGGGGAGGGGAGAAAAAACACAAGAAAGGTCAAGTCTCTGAAAAACAGAGAAGCACCAGATCCCCCCACCCTCAGGCATTTGGATTTTGAGGAAAGTCTCTTGGCTCCGAAGAGTTTTGTTTTCCGGAAAGGAACATGATGTGGACACGGCTTCGGTTGTTCCCTGCCTACAAGGTTTGGGCATTGTCTTTTCATAGCCGAGGACCACCAGAAAAGGTCACGCCCATGTAGCTTCACAGCTTCATCGCTTCCTTCCCCAACCCTCTCCCCTGCAAGTGGGTAGCGCGCTCCCAGGAATTTACTGGCGAGGTGTTGCTACGCACTTACTCCAAGATGCAGGTTTCAATGCTGCGATCTTCTGGCGAACTCCGTTTCGCAATCTCCTTTTTGTTGAGCCTCCGCAGGGCTCCCTCGAAAAAACCTGCGACTCCTGACAGGTGAAGCTCTTGTCAAGGTCTTGGCGTTGACTCCGGAAAATTCGGCGCCCAAATAGGATAGAGAGGTTAAGACCCCATGCCAGCGCTTGACCCAATAGAGTTGTTATTCCCCTGGCAATTCAATGATGAACTCGCTTTCCCAGAAAACTTGGAAATAGAAGGTCAACCATT